ATTTTTGTTTGTTTTTTCCAAATTTTTCTTCATTCTGTCGGATCTATATCCATTTACATTTGCTTACATTGTACAGTATACGGCAGAAATACCACCCACATAAACCTTCCAGAAATACCTTGCACATAATGGTAAAACCTTCCAGAAATACCTCCCACTTAATGGTAAAACATTAGTGACACTGATATCTTACCATTATGTGAGAGGTATTTCAAAACTTAGTGGTCACACATTATATCTCACAAATTACACTTTTCAAAAAATGTCATACTTTCTAAGACTTTATTTGATTTTTTACCAAAATAACGGGTCCAAAAAGATACAGGGCGATTAATTATGAAAACGTTATTTAAATATTAGCACATTAACTTTGGCAGAAACTTCCATCATTTACAGTTGAGGCATGATAATATAATGACAAAAATTCCCATTATCTACAATTAATGGATTTAATTACTGTATTTTTTGTACAAAGTCAGAAGCAATATATTACTAAAATCATTTTACATTTTCATGTTTATTGAGCGTATCAGATTAACAAATTTATTGGTGGTAGCATGATAGAAATGGGTGCATTTAAATCAATGAAAATGTCCCTTGGCAACTATAAATAATATTTTCCACTTTATTTAAAAATATTTCTTTGCGTGAATATATTAAAAATTATTTTTGATGAGCTACAATCTCTTCTCTTCTGAGCCACACATTAACATTTACTCTTCTCCATTGGACCCCTGTTGTTTCCAACGATTAGATTCTTTGTTTGGGGAGAATTCACATCACCCTCTTTTATTTATTTATTTATTTACAGTATTTGCATTTGAACTTTGTCTGCATGCAATGATTCTGGTAACCATAGCAACAACTCCATCCCACAGTGTTTATGGTAAACACCTTTCTTGGACATTTCTATTTCAAATCTCTACTTTCTTTGCAATAGTTTGCATATTAATGTGAACGTTTCTGCTTTGACTTGCTTAAAAAAATGAATTGTTTTTTGTGATTTTTTCCCCTCTGAAAATCTTTCCTTTTTTTTCTCTTTAAGTTTATTCTTGTATTTTCTTCCTTTTCTGACATTACTCTCTGAGTAACAATTCTCCCTTTGCCAAAAATGGGAATTGTTTGTTTTTTGGGGGTTTTTTTTATTATTATTTTTCCTCTTAAATGATGATTCCACATATTTTTTATTTGATTTTTTTTTTCACTTTTTATGAACAGGATTTTTGGCCAATATATTCTGTATGGAATAATGAAAATATTTCACAGAAGAACCTCAGACAACTTAAAGTATGACAACTATGGTTCTTTAATGGCTTGAAGAATTTCTCTTGTCTTTTGTTGTTATTGATATTTCAGTGCCTCCTTAAATCATTTTACCATCCCACATTTGTTGATTCTTCTTTCAATCTGTAGATATGCATATATATATATATATATATATATATATATATATATATATATATATGTATGTATGTATGTATGTATGTGTGTGTGTAAAAATATATAGAAAATAGGAAAGAACTCATTAGGTAAATAATCCAAAATTCTTTAGTATTTTTGTTATTATTTTTAAAAAATAGTGCTCAATACAAAAGTAGAGCATAAATATAATTATTTATTTAAAAATATGATTCCATCACTACATAAGAGTTCTCATGTTTCAAAACAAGAGCCAAAAAAATTTTGCTTGAAGATGGAACAGAGCTTGGTACTTTAATTCAATTTAATTCAAATAATTATATTGAAGTTTTCGGCTCTTGTTTTGAAACATGAGAACTCTTATGTAGCAATGGAATCATATTTTTAAATAAATAATTATATAGGTACATATTTTTGTGCTCTCATTTAACCACTAAAGAGAAAGTTTTCTGCCTACCATCAGCAGGGCTGATGCTAGACTCCTGAAGAGCAACTCACTGTACCTTCTTGACCTCACATTTTCAACTGACTTAAAGTTGAGTGACTACATGAAATCAATGTCTGCATCTACTGTAAGGAAAGCTGGGTCACTGTGTTGTGCTAGAAAATTTTTCTCACCACATATCTTGCACATTTACAAATCTACTGTTTGTCCATGCATTGAATACTGTTGTCATATCTAGTATGGTGCTCCTGTTATTCATCTTGAGGTTCTTAACAAAATCTAAAGAAGGATCTGCAATGTCTGACTTGGTATTTCAACTTCAGTCACTTTTTCACTGATGTGGCATGGCTTGTCTTTGTCATTTCTACATATATTTTCATGGCAACTGCTCTGACAGGCTTTTTCTCTGCTGCCCTGGCTGCATGAATTTAAGCATGCTGCTAGATTGGCATCTAGGTCCCACCCTTACTGCTGAAATAGTTAAATGCAGCTGCCACTTTTACTCTAACAATTTCTTTTCTTGTACTTTCCCCTGTGGAACTCCTTTCCATTTACTTGCTTCCCTGATAAATACAATCTTCAAAAATTTAAATGCAACATCAATTACCATCTTCTATCTTCTTGAATCTTGTTCATCTTTTGCCATTTCCTTAATCCTCCCTATATTCAGTCTCTTCTCTCACTTTCACTCTCTGTAATTCCCTATATACTAGTAGCATTTCTGCCTCACTTGGGGTGAAATGATAAAAAAAAAAATATAAATCTGGACCCCACTGCCTTCATTTGTGTTCTAGTTGTCTGAAGATTGTGAGAGCATGAAACTCTGGTAACTGCCCTTTGATAGTAGTTAACGCTGTGATGCGTTTTTTTTGCTAGGCACTGAACACTTTTCTTTACTGAGTAGTTTGTCTTTAGGTCTTTTTTCTTTTTTTTTTCCTTGTTTGAGATTTTCTCTTGATTAAAGTATTAGGTCTTCTGGCAAGTTGTCTGTTGGTTATGTCAACATAGTTGGTTTTTCTTTTTATATATATATATATATATATATATATATATATATATATATATATATATAATGGTAATTGCTCCGAGGAGCTGCATTCGCTGGTTCCCAGACTTCATGAATTCAAGCGCCCCTACGAGGCTGGCATCCCGCTCTCACCCTTTCACTGTCGAAACTACTAAATGTAGCCGTCTCTTCTACTCCAATACTTTCATGTCTCGCACCTCTTGCCTGTGGAACTCCCTTCCCTATTCCAGTTTCCCTGAGAGCTATAATCTCCAACTATTCAAATGTAATGTCAATCAACATCTCCAGTTGCCTTGATCTATCCACTATCCTTCTCCTCATCCTTTCCTCTATCACTCCTATCTGATCTTGCTCCAAATCTTCTGTAACCCCTTGCGTCCTAGTGACTTCCCGCCTTGCTTGTGGTGAAAAGCTTAAAAAAAATATATATATATATATATATATATATATATATATATATATATATATATATAATGTTATTTGAATTTGACAAAATGCCCCCACCTAATTTAAGTTCCTTCTGCCTTTTCTACAGGGTATAGCAGAAATATCTCTCTGAAATACATAATGGTAAGACATTAGCTAAATGAAGAGGCTAATGCCACTAATATCGTATCATTATGTGGGAGGTATTTCTGCCACACCTTATATAAATACTTTCATGGTAAATGTTCTAATAAACTCTCCTCTACTCTATTCATTGTAAATATTAATTGGGGTATCAATTTTGAATGTTATTATTTTTACTGAAGCCCCCCCCCCAATTTTACATATGGGAACTAGATAGGACTACATAGAGACTCGAGGGATTATGTTGACTGTAGTAAGAATGGTAAGTAAGAATGTGTTGCTTTGGTGTAAGGAATACTGTGATATGTTTGGGTCAGTTATTGTGGCTAGCTAAATTTAATATAAGACAGATTGAAGACCAGCCTTCCTCTATCCCCCCTTTTGGCCTTGTGCCACATTTTTGTATTTTTAAAATAAATATTACTCTCCTCTATAGTATCTAGACTCATCAGACAGCAAGATTTCACCCTTTTACATTTGAAATGGTTAGATGTAACTAAGTTCTATGCTGACAGTTTTTTTCTCTCACACTCCTTCCCTAAAGAACTCTCTTCTAGCTTCTTGCTTTCCAGTCAAATTTGGTTTTCAAAAATATAAATGCAATGTCAATCTGTTATCTTTTGTCTTCTTAATTTTTGTTCTTTTATTGTTATTGCTCCTTGATAATGTCTTCTTTTTCTTATATTTGTTCACACTCAGTAACCCCAGTATTGTAGGGGCTTTGTTGCCTTGCTTCAGGTGAAGTGATTAAAAAAATAAGAAATACAGCTTTGAATGAGATTTGAATTTATATGCAGAAATACTTTCAAAACAAATGAGTTTAACAGACTCAGAATTTAAATCTTTCTATCATTTCAACTATTTACCTTGTTTGGACTGTTGTCCTCATCTTTATTCTCATATTCACGATGTTTCGGCTGTTGTAAACTCCGGCCTTCTTCACATGATATACATTGGAATTTTGAGCCGCAGGGTAGATGGCCCATCTACACTGTGAATATAACAACAAAGATGAGGACAACTGGTCCGAACAATAAACATAAATGTGCTTGTAATATTTGTTATTACTAAAATGCTAAAATAATTAATTCCGTAAAAACTAGTGACTCTCTTTTATGCTAGTCTTAGACATATTCTCTGTGTGGAAAATATATTTGGCACAGTATTTCTGACCTGTAAAAATCATTTAGCTTCCATAAAATATACTTCTATGTCATGTATAATAAACTGAGAAAAGCAAATCATAAGACAATGTTCTTTCTTTATTGTCATTAGAAGGGAGAGAGAGAGAGAGAGAGAGAGAGAGAGAGAGAGAAAAAGAGAAAGTGGCTTGTTTAGATTGTCATAAAGCAGCCTGAAAATATGTTTATTTATCTTCCAAATGTTTTATTGCTCTGTTTTATTTATGAAATTGCCTTGGGTACCTGCAATAAATACAGCAAATATATGAACAGCAGCCCCTTGTATTTTTTTTATGCTTTCTTTTTATTTTCTTATCCTTCCTCAACCTCATTGCTTCTTGCCTATCTCTTTTTATAGATCACTTCCCTTTATGCTTCTTATCTCTCTCTCTCTCTCTTTACCACTTTACTTTTCATCCCCTGCTTTCTCCTTCTTTCTCTACTTCTCTGTTTATTACCCTATCTTTCTCTGTTTCCTACGTCTCTCTTAGCCTCTTGAACCTCTCTGCATTCTTTTTACCTCCCACTGTCTTTGATTTTCAGCTCTCTATGCTTCTCACTTTTCTCTCACTCCTTACCTCTTTGCTTTTTGTCTCTCAGTCCTCCTCCTTCTCTCTCTCTCTCTCTCTCTATATATATATATATATATATATATCTTTGCTTCTTCGTTCTCTCACAGTAAAAGTTCTCAATATCAGGGATAGAGTATATGTAAATATATAAGTGGACATTGATGCCAACATCCAGCAATGATAGTATGTTTCATGCTTAACCGCAATCTTTAGACTATCAATTGACTTCAATATCTATATATATATATATATATATATATATATATATATATATACATATATATATGTATATATATATATATGTATATATATAGTGAACTTTCCCATCATATTTGACATCTGAGAGTCTAGTAGCTCAGTTACTAGGAACCGACAGCCCAGACACCAGCACATACCATTTGATTATAGTGGTGAAGGCTTTGTGCTGGACCAATCACATTTTTTGAAGGGCTGAATACAGAGACCTGGTTTACTACATGCTACAAGGTCTTCAAATGACCCTGCACATGTTTTGAATTCAGAGTTGTCCTTCTCCTAGAGGAGTTGGCATCCAAGGCTATAGAACCCAGTCTGTCCTGTTATTTACCCATAGCTGGAGGGAGAAGAGGATTAATACCTTTCCCAAGGGTATTAGTATGTGAGTGAATGTCATGGATTCAACTAAAATTTGAACTCAGCTCTCCGATTCCTCAATCTGAACTGCTATCCACTACTCTACTGTGCTTCCGATATATATATATATATATATATATATATCTTTGTTTATTCCATCTCTGTCTCTGTATATATATCTTTTTTTTACCACTGTGTGTGTATCTATGTATCTATCTATCTATCTATCTATCTATCTATCTATCTATATATATATATATATATATAGGATTAATGTGAGTAAAATTTGTCACTTAGCTGATTAATATTACCTTCCTGACTCCAGAGCTTTCTAGACAGACCTGTTCATCCACTCTTCAGTTTTCTTCTGCTGTCCTTTTCTTTATTTTTTTTTTCATCTGTAACAAACTTTGTCTGTGACCTATTTTTATTTATTTATTTATTTTTATTTATGGGCATTTTATTTTTTTTACTAGGGAAGTATTTTGTTTATTTATATTTTTTATATAAATAATTGGTATTAATGCTTAGGCAATATATATATATGTATATATATATATATTAAGAAATACGCATAATACCTTACATTGATTGCACAACTCAGAGTTTTATGCCTTCTGCATTTGTTAGGTGGAAATTTTGAGGGTTGACACCATGGGCACCACATATACTAGCATTGATATTACTTATTTTTATTAATATTTTTACTTTTTGCTACCTTTAGTATACAACTATTGTTAATATTAGACTGTAACACATTTAATTTTTTTGCTAATCCTTTATTTCCATTATTAATTATTATTATTTTATTATTAACCCTTTTTTATACATAACCATAATTATTATTGTTTTGCCTTTGTCTTTTCTCTTACCTTTCGTCTTACTATTAGTAATGTGCTTATTTAATTATGTATTTATATCTATTCACATTTATTATTTTTATTTAATCATTTACTTATATATTTACTTGCTCTATTTTTTTACATATTTATATGTTCCTATTTATATGAATTTTATTTTATCTTATTTTATTTTCATTGATATGTATTTTTATTAGTAGTTTAATTTTATTTTATCACAGCATATTTTATTATTATTGGTATCACTACTTTTATTTAGTTTATTAATATTAATATTAACAATATTATTAATTACTTTATTAATTTTCATGGAAAAAATAGAGTTGCCGCCCTTAATTTCCAAACGTTTTTTTCTTAATGAAAGTCTTCACTTCAGAAGGAATAAAATCCCACATATGAAGATAGAAATAGATGTGATATTTGAAAGCATTTTCAAATTCTTGAAAATAATAAAAGTTGCCAAAGAAAAGCTTTTGATCTTAAAGTTCAACAGGATGTTTATGAAATGTCTGAAGTGTTACACTGAAAATTTTAAGCAAATATGATAGCTAAGTGAGTAACTCTACTGTGCTTCATCCTACACAGTCCTAAATGTGTGCTTATTTTAATTATTTGTTAATCAAGGTTTGTATTAGTTTCAAACCTTGCTGTAAAACATTGTTGACAAAACAAAATCTCTAAAGATTTCTCTTGCAGTACAAAATACATTTGTATCACATTATATACATGAATGTTGTAAAGTGAGAGGGTCATTGCAAAGATCAATCCCACCTTTTTTATCTCCAAGTTTGCTGTTTCAAATGATGCAAAAGAAATTTTCAATTTTTTGTCAACAGAAATTGAATTAAAGTTTGTCACTGATCTGGTTTAGGAGCTACACACCTGATTTGAGATGAGAGTTGTCTGTCTTTTAGGCTGGTTGGTAACCAAGGCTAGACAGCCTAGTCTGCCTTGCAATTTTTCTATAACTGAGAAGAGAAGTGAATGCATACTTTCTCAAGGGTATTAATATGAAGTGAATGCAAGCATAAATAATGAATTTTATATATATTTATATATATATTTTTTCAAGACTTAGCATGAGCAAAACAAATTCACAGATTTGGACAAAAAAGACCCCATAATAACAGAAACCACATCAATTGGGGCCTACCAACAGTAGCAACAACTAAAATGGATGGCCCATATAACTAAAAAGGAAAATAATTATATAATCAAGATGTTAGCATTCTACACCACATCAAATAGAAGGTTAGGATGGAAACCCCCATCAATATTGGAAAGAGCAATAATAGCTACTGGACTGCAGAAATCTGTTTTTCTAAAAACGTGTTTTAAGAGAAAGATTTTATCAATTTCAAGTAAAAGAAGTACTGGTTACTCGGTCAGTGAAAGCCAAACTTTTTCCTTATAGGGAAATGGTTAATGTTACCATTACCATCTGACTGGAGCAAGTGACAAAAAAGAATAAGCTGAAGCAGAATTTTTATAAAATCTTTATTAGTTGCCCTGACCAAAAGATTGGTGATTCTTGTACTAAATTCATTATCAATATATTCGGTAACAAACACCGAAGAATCCTACAAGAGTAGCCCAAAATTCTTTACTGTACTCCCACATGTCCACTAAATAAAAAAAAAAAAACATAAAAAATATATTAAGTATACATGGATATTTAATGTCGATATTTAATTTCATCTTTTCTCTTTCTCATAAATAAAAACATAAATATGTATATCAAATGTAGTTGAATGTATCTCTTTTGTCAAGAAAAATGACTGGCTTTTGTTTTGAATATATCAGCAGAAGATGCAAAATAAGTATAGAAAATCAATAATATAAGATACAGTAATTTCTTTATAATGGCCATTTATAACCAAGCAACATTTTTAAATGTGTTAGGAGGTTTACAATGGAATAAAGGTTAATAGGATAGACAACAGAATCAGCAAATGAAGTTCAAATCTCAGTAAAGACATTGTGTACCTATGTCCAGTGATATAAATTTCAACTTGGCTCACATTTATCAAAGTATTATTTCAAATTTCAACTGTGCATCACTGTGGCTTATTGCCACGACACATCAAAACACCAATTCCTGTATGATCACTGAAGTTAAGCAATGTGGAGCCTGGTCAGTACCTAGATGGGTGACTGCTTGAGAATGCTAGATGCTGTAAGCATGGATATGCAGGTGGTGTAATGGATAATGGTTCAGAATTCAATCAGAGAGCCAAGTTCTAATTCCAGTTGGGTTCATTATATTCATCGAAACACAAGTACCCTTTGGAAAGGTATGAATTCACCTCTTCTCTCCTCCCAGCTGTTACTAAGACTTGTATCATTAAAACATCATTATCTCCAAAAAAGAAAAGAAAATCTAAAAATATTTCCTAGCTTTAAATAACCTCAAAGGGTTGATAATCCATAGAAACCGAATCAATCAATAAGCAACACTGTACGTTTTCATTGTTAACAAAGGCTTGGAAAATTTAATTAGTGTTATAATGTATTTTATCACAGATCAGTAATTCTAATGCTGTATTAACTTCTTGTCCGCCGTTCTTTTTAACTTGGATTACTCTACTAGTATTTTTTTCTTCCATGAGGCATTAATTTTCAGTTTTAGGTTTTGATAAAGGATTCTTTAAATGATTCTGAGAATGCCAGAGCAACAAGGATAATCCGTAATAAATGAAAATTGATCTGTTTTACTATCTTGAAATATTTTCACTTAAGAAGACGAATCAGTGCATAAATGATTTATTAAGATTTTTGGATGCAATTGTTGATCACTTTGTTCTTTTTAATTTTATTTCTTCTCCTACTTGAAAGATTTATTTATCACTACTGTCTTCCTTCAGATGAAATTGCAGAGCATAGGCTAGATTTGCGATTGGAAAAGAAAAAGAAATCTTGAAAGAAAGAGAGGAAATGTGTTTGTTAAGAAGGAAAGAGAACAATGAAATTGTAAGACAAAAAAAAGAAACCAGGGGTATGGTGGAATGCAGGTAGAGAAATGAATGGAAAGAGAAACAAGGAGTGTAAATAAAGAGAGAAGAAAAAGAATGAAGGCAAATAAAAGGAAAAAAATAAAAATGGAGTATGGGAGGAAGATAGCTGGAGATAATGAGAAGAAGAAAATGAAAAGAAATGAAAAGTGAAGATTAATTGAAGAAAAAATCAGAGAGAATATTCATTGAAGAATGAAAAATAGTGAAGGAGGAAAGTAAAGAAAAGAGAAAGAAAATAGTAAATTAAATAGAATTTAAAAGAAAAAAGGAATTTTGATTTTGATAAAGGGAGAGAACACATATAAAGAACTTGATATAAATAAAGAGATATTTGAAAAGAAAATGAGAGATGAAGAACAAGATATGTGGAAATGTAAAGATATAAAGGAAAGGAGAAAAAAAGACAAATATCAAAATTTGCAGAATTTTTTCTCCAGATTTATCTTGTATAAATCCTTTTGTTTGGCTTTGTATCACGTTTAATCTACCAGAGTCCAAAATGTCCATCTTCAATTATTAACACTTTGATTGAAGATTTATAATGGTTCTAACTGTAGAAATATTTCACTAAAACTTGGAAATTTTACCATCACTTCACCCAACAGGCTAAATCTTAACTTTCTAAGATCAGTGGTTAAAATGGCTTTCAGCAAATGGAGCCTATGGCTCTTGGTGATGACGACACATCATTGAATCTTGTGGAATGGTACTACAGAATCACAAACAAAATAAAAGAAACCACATCACTTGAGAACTTTCAACAGCAGCAACCACTAAAATGGATAGCAAATGTAACACAAAGAGAAAATAATGACATAATCAAGATGTTGATGTTCGATTTTTTTTTTTACAAGACCCAAGTGCCACTCGAGGTAGAGGATTACAAAGTAAGAGACACAATTTATGGGGATAAAAGGTTATGAAAGAAGCCCCCATCAATACTGAAATGAATGAAAGCTGGACTTGAGAAACCTATTTTCCCGAAAAATTGTTTTAAGGGGAGATTTTATAAATTTCAACCGAGAGTAGTACTAGCTTCTAAGTCAGTGAATGCGGAATGTTCCCTTGTAGTGAAACAGCTAGTATTATCATTACCATTTAAATTTTTGTCCCTTCAGTTATTATTTTTTCTTTTTTTTTTAATTTTTGTTTTAATGCTACAGAACATCTTCACAGAGAATCTCTTTAATTTTTCCTTTGTTTCTTGTGTTTTTTTAAAATTGTCTTTTTGTTGCCTTTTTCATTTCTTGCAGCTTCCCTATGGCTTCCTTAGGAGAAAGATTGTTCCTCATAAAATAGATAAGTAAATGTATATGCAAAATTTCATAAAATAAGACTTGATAGATTTTAAGCTAAGTATAGTCAAGAAAATAATGTTTGTAAATTAGAATTTAAATGATGCTGATTTTCTTAGATTTTCTCATAAAAACTATCTGAATCTATTCATAATCTGTTATAACAGTTGATTGGCTCTTCTTCAAGGTTGATAATATATGTAGCAGCATGTTATTTTTAATACAGCAAATTATGAGGCTTTATCAAGATCTGGTGATGGGAAATAGTATAAGAAGCAATGGGTTTATGCCTTTCTTAAGAGTATTAATGTTAAGTGAACATAAACCCTAAATGAGAAAATGATGATATAATCAAGATTTTGATATTTTAAAGTACTTCAAATAAAAGGTTAGAAAGCAAGCCTTAACCAATAATGGAAAGAACAATAACAGCTATTGGACTTGAGAAACTTATTTCCTGAAAAATTGTTTTAAAAGAAAGATTTCATAAATTTCAACCAATAATAGTATTGACTGCTTGATCAGTAACTCCAAAATATTTCCTTATAAGGAAATGGTTGATATTACCATCACCTTATGCTACTCATCTTGTTGTGACTAATATTTGGAGGAACAATACAAAATGGCTGTATTTTCATTATTAAGGTTATATACACAACCATTAGTTCTAGTTAATAATGGTAAATATGGAAAATTATAATGAATTGGCTGTTCAGGTGGAAGTTGTATTGAATTGACTGTTCAGGTGGAAGTTGTATTGAATTGACTGTTCATGTGGAAGTTGTATTGAATTGGCTGTTCAGGTGGAAGTTGTATTGAATTGGCTGTTCAGGTGGAAGTTATATTGTATTGGCTGTTCAGGTGGAAGTTGTATTGAATTGGCTGTTCAGGAGGAAGTTGTATTGAATTGGCTGTTCAGGTGGAAGTTGTATAGAGTTGGCTGTTCAGTTGGAAGTTGTATTGAATTGGCTGTTCAGGTGGAAGTTGTATTAAATTGACTGTTCAGGTGGAAGTTGTATTGAATTGGCTGTTCAGGTGGAAGTTGTATTGAATTGGCTGTTCAGGTGGAAGTTGTATTGAATTGAATGTTTAGATAGTATAATGGTTAGTGCATCAGAATGAGAAATAGGTGAGCTGAGTTTCAATTTTGATCAAGTTTGTTAAATTCCCATTGACACACATACAATTGTGAGAGGGAGGTACCTATAACTTTTCCCCTACAGAACTTTTGGTAATCTCAAAAAGTCTACTGAGGGGTTACTGATGAAAACAAATTATAATGTTTCTCATACAAAATATTCATAATTTAGCAAAATATCTGTGGACAGATAAATCCAAATGAATGTTTTGGTAGTAAGAGGGGCCAGGAGAAAGACTGAAAAATAAAAAGCAAATACACTGTAGTTACAGAAATTTTATGTTTACTTTAAAAAAATACAAAAATATCTCATTTTAAGGTGTTTTTTTAAAGAAATACAGAGTGGCCCAAAAGTTTTTGCTTGTAGCATACATTACAAGGTGATTTAAAAGAGAATTTGCAAATTGAAATATTTTCGAAAAATCTTAAAGCTATTAATATAAAATGATAACAGATAAGTTTTCCTGTGTAAACAATTAAAAAGGAAAAATGAATAAACATTTGGTACCATTGTTATTGTTTGTTTTCAGACTAGAAATATCTCTAAGCTCTAAAATATGATCCATAACACATGCAATATTTTCATTAGTTCCATCATCCTTGATAATCTAAAAAACATAATTTTCACTGTTGAGTTTAACAGAAGCTGACATTTTACATAATGTTTATCTTATATAAAATTCTACCTATGATTTTTTTTATACCTTGCATTCTACATGAGTTTTCAGCTGAAACTACCATAATTTATTCAGTCTGTTGCTGAAGAGGGAGGAAAGAAAGCTAATTTCCTTCAAAGTTTGTGGATGTTGTTTATTGAAAGCAAATTAAAAATGGTCGCTATTCCTGTTTGCAGATGGCAATGTACTTTTTTCAGTGAATGAAGAAATAGTTTGTCAACAAAATGATTGTTTCAATCAATCATTTAGTTTGAGTGATTGGTCAATATAATGATAGAAATGTTTCCTTTTATTTATCAGGAACTCTCACACAACACAAATACTAAAGTTGCAATTGTGACCATTTTTTTTTGTTTTTGTTTCTTTTAATAGGTAAAATTGTATTTGATATTTTGTTTTGAATTGATACCACTGTACCTATTTGATTTGCCAAAATACTTACAAAACAAACATTTATGAGAAATCTTTAAAAACCTAACAAGAATTTTCATTGCATCACATTAGGTGTGACAATGTAATTCCTAAAATGACTACAGTATGTCACTGGTGTAACAAATAAATTATTTGTATCCCAGCACATCGAGACATGTTACAATTTTCATTTTGTTGGAATAAAGATCAGATGTCATTTGTTGCTGAGCAGTAGAGGAAGTTCTATGTGTTCATCTTATACTGTTGACAGAAAATGAGTGAAGCAAATCTAAAGCAGTGGATTAACATTTTTTTATGAAAATTGGTGAAAGTATCAGTAAAGTTTTAACCCCATTAAAAATGGTTTACGCTATGAAGAAATTATGTTTTTGAATGTTATAAGAAAAAAGATGAGCCCAATGATGCAAGAAGTGGAAAACCAAAAAAAGATAGAAATGTAGACAGTGCAAACTTTGGGGCACTCAGATCAGAGATTACAAGAATCTGTTTAGAGAATATGACCTAAACTCTGGCCTGGCAAATGGATTTTCCTTCATGCCAGTTCTCCTATACATAGTGCATTAAGAATTCCTAAGTTTCTGATTTAGAAATCCATTACAAAAATGAATCAAACACCTTATTCACCAGATTTTTCCCCTGTGATTTATGGCTATCTCCAAAATTGAAAATCACCCTAAAATGATAAAGATTTTCTAACCTTCCTGACATTCAGCAACACATGACTATATTACTGAAAAGTTATTCCAGAAAAAAATTTCAAGAATGTTTCCAGCAATGGCACAATCATCTCAGAAAGTGTAAATCTTAAAAATGGGAGTGCTTTGAAGGTGACAGCAGCCAATAATGACCATGTAAGCAGGTATGTAATTATAGTACCATTCCATGAATTAAATTGTCATACCTCATATATCTATCTTGGTACCGTTATAATTGGAGTAGGAAGGGTACATTTTCATGAAACATTTTTTTACTGCAATTATGACTTTGTCTCATTTAAAAATAATTTGCAATGCAGCACAAGTTTATGTCCATCTCTGAACTATTGTAATTCGACTAAAAGTGTATACCTGTTTTATATAGCTTTCTTGTATGGTTTTACTATATTGTCTGCTTAAGTGTCATTGCACAATAATATTTAATGTATGTCATAGTTTGTTCACTGCTTTATGGGTAATCTGACTCCATCATGTTATGTAGTTAGTAGGGGGAGTAGGGGTTGACCAGTGAATCATATTGGCATATGTTGCTCTTTATATACATATGTTTTTTTTTTTTTTGCCGTGAAAATACTTGTAGAAGACACAGAAGGAAGACTGAGTGTTTGAGGAAAGGATACAGAGAAGGACAGGGAACAAGATCAAGGTATCAGAAGATGTTGATTGAAATTACACTCAAATATTTGAATATTATAGTTATCAGGGAAGCAAACAAGTGGAAGAGAGTTCTATAGAAGAGAAGTGCGAGAGAAGAAGCCGTTTGAGTAGAAGAGATTGTTACATTTAACTGTTTCGACAGTGAAAAGGTGGGGCTGAGATGCCAGCCTACTAGTGCACTTAAATTCATG